CTCAACCCTTGAGCCATTCATGATTACAGTACAAGATGGAGCCGGTTTCAGTTTGGGCGATTGCCGATGGAGGAACATGATCGCTTGTGTTTTGGAGGCATTGATTTTGATTTTCCACGTGGTGGCATAATCAGCAAAGGCGTTAAGGCATCGTTGAAATTTGTTCGTTATTTCGCGAGGCATCCTTCCTTTGACGGCTATTGCGGTATCATCTGCGAACAGGAAAAACACGCAACCGTCACCGAGGGGAGGAATGTCGGAAGTATAAATGCTGTAAAGCAAGGGCCCAGCAGACTGCCTTGCGGGACGTGTCTGAAAGACAACTATTCAACGATACCTTAAACGACCTTTGCTGGAGGTAGTTACGGGTGATTTTAACCAGATGTAAAGGAAAGTTGAAGTTACAAAGCTTGTACACAAGTCCATCATGCCAAACATTGTCAAACGCCTTTTCAACGTCTAACAAGGCCATGGCTGTGGACTTGGATACAGCTTTGTTACTTCGGATGTTATTCATCACCCGTACTAGCTGATGATTGGTGGAGTGCCCCTTTCTAAATCCAAACTGTTCCGAAAGGAGAATGTTGTTTTCCTCGACAAACTTGTTCAAACGATTGAGAATGAGTTTCTCAAACAATTTGCTCAGCAAATCACAGACGTAGTCCTACGTCAAAAAAATCAGTACCGCTCATGACATCAACGAGCTTAGGTACTTCATATTTATATCTGCTAACCTATCTAAATTCTCTAACCAATGAGATTCCGTTTACATACGGACTATCACGCTTCACGCTCACTCGATTCTACTTATTATTTATTCAATACTAACTCTATCTACTACACTTGGTGTTCTGCACGAAAGTCTTGCTTACGTGCAACTTTTAAGCCACATCTCGAACTCAACAAGCGTCACTATCCATAAGAGTAATATTTGTACGTTTTGTACGTTTATACGTCCAGCACTAGAATACTATGAGTCATGCTATGATCATATTTTGAATAGGTAAAATACAAGAAGAGATTGCAAAGAATGTGTTTGACATATTAATGTTGCTTATTTCACTTCATGAGAGTCACTACCCGCGATTTTTCACACACTCACTCACTCACTCAGCGATCAGCAAATCGCTGATTATGACTCATAGAAAGCAGAATTTACGGGTTTTATGTTTCAAACGCATACTTTGTAACCTCTTCTTGTAAGTTACAAGTAAAACATGTCATCATACCATCTTTTGGTTTTATTATTCCGAAAAACATTATTTTAGCTGAAATGAGTATTTGGTCATATGTAGCCTATATTCGACTCGGATCCGACGACCATTGATTTCGAATTCCGTTGGCCGAAGATTTTGGATCTTATTATCCACATGCTCTTTGAGGGTAACTTCAGTCGTCTCACTAACCAACTGAATTCGCACGGGTCAGCAGTATCTTGTTGAGGATGGTAAAGAGTTTGTTAAGGATGGTAAAAAGTTCACCACCGCTTTAATTTCACTCTTTTCTAACCAACATTTATATTGACAACTGGAGTAAACTAAGCACACAAAGTGCTTGTCTTAGAAAATGTTTTGTTCAAATTAATCATTTTTTTGTTAATGCATACATACAGAAAATTTCCTTGTTGTTCACGGATGAGTTTGATAATATCTGTTTCTATAATCCGTAATTTACCGTTCATAAATGAGGAGACAGGGTTATTTTTATATAGAAAAAGGCCAAACACGTGAACATTCAACGTGCCCTTATTCACTCACTTATGAATTGGCGCTAACCAAACCTTCACTACTTTGTAGTACAGAGTCTAAGCTTTAAAAAGAGTACTTGGTGCTGTGTCCCGGTTTGCCACCTTCTCCCCTATATGCAGCTGAAATTAAGGAAAAATAAATGTAAAAAGTACTATAACTTTGAAAGGGATGATTTTAGCCACATACTGTCTCCAGCAAAAACATGTATTTGTATGTTGTTTACATTTGTTCAGAACATTGTTTACTTAAAGAACTGTAATAAAAAAAGTTATACTTAAAAAAATTAATTTAAGGGGGTTTCCATCAAAAACGCTTCATATATTCACAAGTATTCGTCATACAAATTTGATGTTTTCAGCAAAGTTTCATATTTTTATGAGTACTACAACTTTGCTAAAGAAACTACTCTTCTATCTCTTTTGCAAAAAAAGTTATTTTTTAAAAAATTTTCAAAGTATGCCATGACAAATATTGGTAATTGTCATAATATGCGCAATGTTTTTGTGAAAAATTCTTTTGAAGACAGTTTTTGGATTAGGTCAACGGTTTGATCACAATACAATTAAATTCACCAAATTGGCATCTCCGACCACTGTGCACCGGCGCCGTTTCAAAGGGGGGATGTTTCTCAGAGTCTTAAACTATGTTAATCATCGATCGAGTTTCCACTTGCTGCAATTACGGCCTCCACATGCTTCTAGAATGCATGGCAGGTTCTAATAATGTAGTCTGGGTCCATTTCTCTCCAGGTACGGGTCAATGTTTGTCTGAGGCTTGCTGTACTCGGGTGGCGTTTAGAACAGGTCTTGGCCTTCATGACGCGTCATATTGAGTAATCCAGCGGATTAAGATCGGGGCTGGATGGCGGCCACATATCTTTCGCCCAGAACGGAAGATGTTCCTGCAACCACTTTTGAGTGCGGTTCGAGGTGTGGCACGGAGCCCCATCTTGTTGAAATACAACGTTTGGCTCTCGTCGGTGAACAGGATTACCGGATTTTTTCGCTTAAGGAAGTTCAAGATTTTCTTGCATCGTTCGAATTGTAGCTCCCGGATGCGGTTGGTAATCATGTGATTTTTTTTTTCCGTGCTCTCGATTTCGCTCCGCAATCTTCCGTGTCGTAAAGTCACTGATCCCGTGTTCCTTTGTCATTTTCCTCATTGAACGCACTGGATTCACCCGAATCTTCCTTTTGATAGCAGCGATAACCCTCGGACCCCGATCTGACCTCGGACGACCTGTGGCCAACTTCGCGGATAGTTGTCCTTTCTTTTCTCGGTTTAAAACCCTTTTAACGGTCCACCGGGACACTCCCACGGCGATTGAAATGTCTTTTTGCGACATTTGCGCGTGGGACAAATCACGAATACGCTGCCACTTCATCATGGTGCAACTGTTAAACTAAGTAAATCATTTTCTTTTATACACAGCCTACTACGGAATGAGCTATAGGTTACGTGCATGCAAAGAAAACAAAGGCATTGTATGTACAGGTGAAACGGGAACCTTATTTGTACGATGGTGCAAACATTATCACGCGTACGATAGGTCTGGCGTAGAACTCAATGGGTAACGCATTCTTCAGGGGAAAGCTGTTCAGTAAGGCCAACCTAACAATCCCCTGCTCCCTACAGCTCTTTCAACCTGTATTTAGATCCCCTACAACTGTATCATGTTTGAACTAATTTGGCTACGATCTGGAGAATTATAGTGTTTGTATAGGAAATTGTATTGGAAACGGAGCAAGACTGTTAAGTAGCATGTCATAAATTCAAAAACTGCTCAATTTTTACCAAAACTTTAATTAAATTAAGGAAAACTATGCAGAACAGTTGTTGGGGACCTCAATACAGATCTTAAGAGCAGTGGAGAGCAGTTGTGATCAGGGTTGCTTGCACTAACTTTCTTTAAACAATTGTTTTTTTTTTGTTATTATGACACCATTGAGTGATTTATGATATAAAGGACATGTAATAAACAAGAAGAGGCTGTGGAGTATGTGTTTGATACATAAAACCTGTCAATATTGCTTTCAGAGCGTCACAAACAGCGATTTTACGACTCGTGAGCGCTAAATCTGAGTGAGCGCTCACGAATCTTAAAATCGCTTATTGTGACGCTCTGATAGCTAAATGGACAGGTTTTATATTTCAAACACATACTTGACAACCTCTTCTTGTAACTTACAAGTACAAAATATCATTATAACATCTAATGATTCCATAATTCCGAAAAAAAAAAAATTTGGTTTATAGCAAGTGAGTGGAAGCAACCCTGTAGTCATGCTTGGCATACACGGTTTTGGTCACGAACTGCTCATTTGCTAATAACTTTGTACACAGTTGACAAAACATAGTTCTGTTTGAAGCAGTAGATAGAATAAAATTTAAGCTTGTTATAAGTATGTACGAAAAAGTAGATTTTAATTCTAGCAATAAACTGCATTTGTTTATCCGTTGTAAAAATCAAGTGAGAAATGCTCGTTGCACATCTCGGACTTTATGTGTAAACAAAGTAAACATTCATTGGTGTTGATTCAAATGTTAATATTTACCTACTCTTTGCATATCCATAGTAAGCTATGATCCTTATATATCAATTACTTTAAAGAAAATCGATTTTCAATAACTGAGTGAAAAGTTATTAACAAATGTGCAGTTGGTGTGTACAACTGTGCATGCCAAGCATGCCTGTAGTGATCCTTCATACAGACTTGACCTACCCTTAAGTATAGTGATCAAGAAGATCAAACATTCAATATTTTCATTTACAAATATAATTTGATTCAATAGGGAGGTGAATTTACTTAACGCTTTAAAGTTAATTCAATTTGATGTTATCAATTTATAAATTGACATATCAAATGTCTACCACAATTTCCCAGTGAAGCAAACCTGCATGCATGCATCCAACGCATTCATCCGCCCTGTTGATTCATCCTCCGGCTGGCCGATGACAATATGAATTATTGCACGACCCTGGATGGCAGCCGCCACCACCACACCCAATCCTCCTTTAGCTCATTCAACATTCACGCAATGCTTCCACTTCACTCCCATCGTCGCCGGTTCATACCTACTCATAAAACTCATCACTCGTGTTGAGAGCCCCGAATTTATCATCCAGATTTGATTTGTGATTTCATCTATCCATTTCACTTATCTGTTTTGCAACGGACGACCGCCAACAAAAAACGCTTCCCGGACGCAACTTGTGTGGAATCAACTATGGGTCTCGGTTGGCGAAACCAGGGCAGCGAAAAGCTTCAGCCACAAATCAGCAGTCCCCGTCTGACCGCACGGAAGCTCTCCGCTCCGAAAACGCCGGAGCGCCAGCGAAAGAGCCTCTTCGGAACGCCACAAAGGGAACGCGACTCATCGAGGTATGTCCACTTTTTTTTGCATTGTTTTGATTCAAATTCGGCTAAATATTTTATTAGATTTGATCCCTTTATCGGTTCATATTGTCTCTTTCGCATGACGCTTGTTTTTATCATGTGCTGTGAGTGTTCAAAAGATTGAATGTGACTGGCTGTATGTGTAAAGTGTGTATGTTAATAAAAACGCTTAATTTAAACATCCCTACTACATTCACGATGAAAATAGTCTGAGTGAAACCTAGGTTAGCTCTGATCATCAAGATGGCAGAATCGTAACGTACAAATCTGCATAAATCGGGCACAGCTGGACTCTGATCGTAAAGCTAGAAATCTGAATGGATTTGAGACATGGCTTCCTCCGGCTGGACTCGTAAAATTATTGTTTTAAGTAATAAATCAAACACACCACCCCAACATTCGAAGACCGCTGCCGTAGTGATGCAGCTATAGATGATCTCTGTATGAGCATAACGACACTCTAAGCCTAATGGGCGACAACATTTGATTTCTGGTCTTGTCATCACTCCCGTCTGACGCTGGTCATGCCCGTTACCTTGTGGGTGGATTGTGATTTATGGATATTATCCGGTTCCTTTTCGATTGTGTTCTATTTGATTTCCCTCGGTGGTAATAACGGTGATGCCATCACTCGGAGATATCACAATGTAAAGTTAGTTGAAGCTGTTCGTTGAAATATTGGATTGAATGCACAGATGAAAAAAATTCCGAGTCTATTCAGCTTAATATGGGAAGCAAATATTTTGAAAAGTTTCTCTACAAAAATTAAAACAACGGCATTTTTTTCGAAATGGTTTTGTAATTAACAGTGAGGCCATTATCTACCTGTCTTGTAAAGTTGTTGCAAGTTGGTATCAACACGTTGGCTCAAGGGCAAGTTTGCGATAGGACATTTTTTCCTCGGTTACATCCTATTAAATCGTTTACCTGACGGGAAAAGAAGAGCAATGGAAATGGGAACGGAGATGGACAGTAGAGCGATGTAAAATTTGAAACTTTCGTTCCACAGTGCTAAAACGGTTCCAAGTCGGGTCCGGATCATTCTTCCAAAATTTTAACTGATATAGTTAAAAAATGACTGTGCACAAACCATTTGAAGTTGACAAACAAAGTTTTTGACAATTCAACGTATTTATCTACAGCGCAGATGGGTTTGTAGCCGACATAATGGATGGCTCATGGCGATCGGTTTGTCGTCTTATATCACCGGTAGGATTAATCAGTGGTGTTGATTGTGTTGGTAGTTCACCAAGCATAGATTCGCTCTGTGGTGCTCTTCTTCTTCTTCTTCTTCTTCTTCTTCGCATTTCAAGCTTAATGCTTTTGGCATTTCAGCTTATTACGTGCTTTCAACTTGGTGTTCTAGATGCACACTTCCACAGTTAATAATTGAGAGCTTTCGATGCCTTACCATTTTTGCATTACTATAATTGTGTGGCAAGGCAAGTACAATCATACTCTATGCCCAGGGAAGTCGAGAAATTTTCCAACCCGAAAAATTCCTAGAACGGACCGGGAATCGAACCCAACCACCTCTAGTATGGTCTTGCTTTGTAGCTGCGCCTTTACCGACTGAGCTAAGGGAGGCCCCAGGCTCAGTGATGTTGATGTTGATGTTGCATACATTGTGTTTCAGAGCAACTATTGGCCAAATTTGAGTGCTCTAGAACTTTGTTTACCCCCTGAAGATAATAGGTTAAGGTATTGCCGAAGCCAACTTTTCCCCTACCTGTGATCTTGACTTTTTTTACCTAGGGGATGAGTACTTAAGGGGATTAGATTTTGATAAGTTCTTTAGTGGGAATGACACTGATGAAGACTGCACATTGTAGTCGAAATACGTATGTATAATATACCAAAATTACTTAAGTGGAATTAAATGGAAAATAACCTTTTTTGCTGTTTTATTTAAGCATTCCGCTAACAACCCAATTTCATTACTTCATGTGAAAACTTGTTTCAGTGTAGAACTACGAAATTTTTATTCGATTTTCTAGTTTGTTGTTCCGGATATTGTTTTGGAATAATGTGAATTTTTTAACACAACTCTCTACATGTGTGTTCGTTGCGTTATACACTGAAAACGAATCTTACTCAGAGAATGAGTCACTGTTAATCATTCTAATGAAGAAATTTTTTAAAGCGTAGATTACTCATGCGCTGAGTAACCTACGCTTTAAGAAACATTGCCATACGAATGGGTAAAATTTAATCACTGAGTTAGTTTCGTTTGCAGTGTACAACGCAACGAACACCCCTGTTTATCACTCGGCAGTCAAACAATGATTGCAGACAAACTTTCTCCGTTTCCCTTATGCATTTAGACTAGCGTTCAATGCCAGTGATGCAAAATATCATGACACTCACTCGACAGTAGTCAACGCATCAACCGACTATTGCTGACAGAATGCTTTGTCACGCAGTGAGAGGTGCAGCCATAGCATACAAAAATCACCAGTAATGGTCGCTGCTCATAGGCAAAACGTAACACTCGCTGCTGATGATGTAAAGCACAGCGAAAACAGTGAAAACTTCTGCAGGACGATGATGAAATAAGCGAAACGACAGAAGAAAATGAAAACGATGCGCACGCGCGACTGTGTGAGTTACAAACAAAGCTGGCAAAATTAAACGAAAGCGGTTGGGCTCACTCAATAACACACTCACATGAGCAAGCAAAGCAGCAATTGCTTCAAAACGAGCACAGATGTGTGTCGTGATAGTCGGGAATTACCAAATCGGTGATGGAACACCACTGAAGACGACATTCACCATCTTCCAAATAAGGGATGATGCATGAATGACATAGCATTTTGAAGTGACCAGCGTAGACGTTTGTTTACGATTGAAAAGCACCAATGTTGGACCCCTTCCTCCTTGTAGCGTATTTATCTACATGGCTGCTCACCTTTAAATGCTGCTTAATGCATGCATCTTCCTTAATTTTTTTTTTTGCGATATTGGGAAACTGGGAATTGGTGGGAAATACTGAGTAGGGGAAATGGATGTAATGTTGGCCTCCATGCCACTAATTTGGACCCATACATAAATTCAGCAATTGACTAAATTTTCAATAGCGATCAAAAATATCCATTAGTACCGTCTCAATGACGCGTTCTTCTAGATAAAATTGATAAATAGCAGATTTATAGCGATCGAAGCCAATCTTAGATCCACAGGCCCCTAATATTGGAATCAGAGTGACGTGTAGGAACCGGACTTCCATGTCTGATGCCATTTTGATATCCAAGAGTGTGGCTTCAGGTTACAGAAAAACTGAAAAATACTGTCATATACAGTATTTCCCATTGTTTCTGTAACCAGAACCCGACATCTTGGAATTAAAAATGGCGTCAGGCATGGAGGCCCTACACGTCACGCTGATTCCAAAAATTTCGATATTGTGGAGTATATGATAATATTTAAAAAAAAAGAGCTTTTACGAGGTACTTCCAAATAACGAGGTTTTTTTTACGAGGTAAATTATAATAACGAAGTATTTTATACGAGATAAATCTCAAATAACGAGGATGGAGAAACTTCCGCCGTTCTTCATTTCTTCATTTTCCTGGACGGCTTGTGATGGACTATAGACTATTAAATTAGTAAAGATCTACACATTTCCAACCGCTTGTGCACGGAGGGCTACAAGCTGATGATACCGGCGATGAACCACTACACAAGGTGGTTCAAGCCATGCTGGACAAACTGAAGGTGGAATGTTTCTCCCACGATCTCTAAGCCAACAATCCGCTAAAGGTAGTCCTGCGTGGTCTTCCGGACGTGGATTCTGACACACTGTCGGATGAATTGAAAGCGAACGACCTCAAACTGGTGCTGATCTACAAGATGGCTCATCATGACGCCATTCATAAGTATCGTGATCAGAACTCAACGTACACGAAGGATCTTCACAATGTTCGAGCCCTATTCCACATCGTGGGGAAATGAGAATGGCATAAGCCGGTCGACCGAATTGTTTACTTCTCGGGAATGGAACAACAAATTAGCACATGACTAGTCGCTGCCACAAATGTGACAAAAAACACAACTCCGGCGCAAGCGAGATGATGCAGGAAGATGATCCCATATGTGTTAACTGTGGGGCAGCAAACCAGGACGCAAACAAGAGCTGCCCGAAACGAGCGGAGTTCCTTGCAATCCGCAAAAAGGCTTCCACAAGCAGCCAACCAGGCCACGTAAGGGTACCGGAAACAACGGGTGGACCTTCCCTGCCGTTGGCCAACGGCGTCCGATTCCGGTGCTTGCGCCGCTCCCACTCAACAACCGACTGGCTGCTGCTACTGCTTCGGTCTCGTTAACTTCAGGGACACCCAACCCTCCGGCAAATTAAAGTCATCAAACGTACCCGGCAACCACTGCATCCCGCAGTACTTCCCCCTCCGGGACTATACAGGCGTCACGATGATGATCCACCACCGAACAAAAACACAGATGTTCTGTTCACAGCGGAGCAACTGATCCTCATTCATCCAGCTTGTCACAGGTTTGCGCAGCTGCAAAACCCATTACGACCAGATTTTCACTCTTGGCCTTTTCACATTCGAATATGGCCTCTGACGTGTTGAAGCTAGTCAACTGGCATTCTTGCTTGCTCAAGAGCAAGAACATCGAGTTCGTTGAGTTTCTCGTTGAACGAAACATCGACATTGACACCATAACTGAAACCCACCTGAAGCCCAAAATTAACGTCTACCTTTCCGATATCCGGCTCGTGAGGCTTGATTGAACCAGCTCTGGAAGAGGAGGAGTGGCCATTGCACAAGTAGAAACATGTGCTGTCGGCTGCTACCAAGTTTTCATCTGAAGATCATCGAAGCCGTAGGGGTGGAAGTTGCTACTTCTTTCGGTACCATCACCAACTCCATTTCTCGTCAAAATTATATCAAATAATATCTAAATAAGCCAATCAAAATTATGATTCCGACTTCATTAGCAACATTAGAGACACCCGGAAAACAGTGAGTCAGTGAGAAATGTCGTTTTGATTTTCTGTCGTCTGAATGTTGAATTGAAGTTTGGGTTATCTACATTTTACCTGGACCAGATGGAGAAAACTAATCTGGTAACGCTGTAAGGCGACATGCACATTCACATGCATACATTTTCACATTAGTCAAGACTGTTTTCAGATTTCATTGTTTGTAAGTAAATGTTTTGATCGATGTTCTACAGTGTTCCTCTATGTATTCCAATTCATATCAATTTTCTCTATGTTATCTTTATGACTGTTATGCTGGAATGAACAAAACTATTAGGCTACTATGCCATAGTTTAATTTGATTCATATCAGCTGCCAGGCTTCGAAATATTTATCTTTGATGTTCCTAACGCTAACATTAGTCTATGTATTCAGTTTTAAGCTTGCATTCCATCTTATATTCCTAAATTTTAATCAAATCATTAGATTTGACTTTTCCTTACCGACTGTTACACCTTTTACATATAATGAATTATTGTATCCTATTCAGCTGTTTTATGGGTGTGAATTTCCTTCCTCCTTCTCATCATGCTACAAGAGCTACTAACCCATTCGTACTGCTTCTTCCTTTCTCGGCATCCAACTTCCGCTTTGTGAACGAAATAAACAAAACATAAAAAAACATAATCCACCCAGTTCGCGTCGTTTCTCCGAGAGCGATGACGACATGGCCACTTCGATCTTCACGACGCCCCGCGGCTCGGTGGGTGGCGTCTCGCTCAACACCCTCTCGTCCCGGGCGTCCATGCAGCACGACCACGTTCCGCACTGTTCCAGCAAAGTAGGAGTCGTAATCACTTCCTATCGACAATCGCAGCGCAGGTAATGTACTGTGTCCTCTAACCGACCGGATCATGGACCCGGCAGATTTTCCTCTGCGCTTCCTTACCCGTTATGTTCAACTTGGTTTCTGTTTTTGTTCATCTGACGCTCGTTCCTTCCATTATTCTTGCAGTTTGGCTCGCTCTAATTTTTTTTTCATTATTCTCAACTCGTTTCCAACCGAGAGCTTGGCCGAGAAAACATTTTTTTAAACTTTTTCTGGTTTGTTTTATTTGCGGCGTTAAATGTTCTTCGACTTAGCATTCCGTTTTTCACTGCTGGTTTGTTTTCATGTGGAAACTTTTTTTCTTCAAATTATTATTACTATGTTAAGCAGCGCGCCGGGAAAGCTTTTCGCATTCAATAAATTCGTTCCGGGCTTGCTCGCAGTTTGGCTTTTATCTTTTATTTTGCTCAGAGTGACCCATTTCACGGAAACGGGGAAAATTGTGTTCGAGCTATGTTACTTGTTTTCATTTCTTAAAAGTTGCGTCAAGTGTTTCCTTGTTGTTTTCTTCGACTTTCTTTGCCCTCTGGGATCGTTTGTTTGGTATGGTTAGTTGTGATTTCTGTTGTCTCTGATTCGTTCCGATTCATTTGTCTTTACATTGAAAATTCGACTCCAAGGCGGCAGATTGATTCCCTGATTGGGAAGTAGAACAACATTGTTACTGGAAACTGAGAACGATAAAAAGATAAAGCAGGAAATGATGGTGGATTGTTGTCGCTCGCTTAAGCTTTCATAACGTAGAAAAACAATACTGAGGCAGGAATAAGTTACACATAATTGATCATAGTTTTGTGGCAAGAAATGGTTCAATAGATTATCAGACTATTTCATTTGATGGGGTATTTTTTTTTTTAAATAAACATCCATCAAATATTTTAATCATGTCTCATCAAATAATTGACCTGGAGACGAAACTCCACTGTCAACACACGCGTTAATATAAGCACAAATTCAGTACCAATTGAGCACGATAAACAATCATTAAACTTTCCATTATCACATGAAAACTTTTCAGGAGCATGGATGTAGTATTGGCATATTGTCCTCATCTTAGGCCCAACAATGGTTGTTACTTTAGCTACTCGAAAATAGTATGTACTTGAAATGAGTTTGCTGGTTGTTTTTTGTTTTCAACTCACTCAGGGTCACTGTTATTCCAAACACAATTCTCTCCATTTTTGTAGTATTTTACTCAGTTGCGTAGCGTGACTGGGTGACACCTGGGGCGGGCTATTTGAGTGTCATCCCTTATCAATCAAATCATTTTTACATTTTAAACATACATTTGTAGAAGACTACTGAATAAATAAAATCTAGCGAGTGGGTTGAGGGAGGGGTGGATGAGCTAGTTTTTACTCGTGTGTTAATTACTTAAATCTGCATGAAAAAAATAATTTAAGCAGCTAATATAATTGTATGGTTCTGATGCATCCAGTTTATTGAATGCTCCGTTCCTATATAGTGGTTTCTAAATCAGTTCTTCTTAACTATTGGGCAGCAAAAATAGGAAGAAGTTCAACAGAAAACGTGTAAACTTATTAAAAAAAATTGAGATGAAGAGTCAAGCATCTCCGGAGAGAAGTTGAAAACAGTATAAAAAATTTCAGGAAAATTAAAGGATCAGAAGAAACCCAACTAATAATTTTAGCTGCAGATAAGCTTATACAAGCAAAATCTGCATTCTACAGCAAATTCTTGCCTGTATAAGCTAGTATGCAGCTAAAAATGATTGTTGGGTAGGTAAAAACTAAGATTATTTCACCGAAATCTGTGAAATTTTACCGAAATCTCAACAGCCGACCGTTCGGTAAACAGTTCGGTAATTTTTCAAAGATTTCCTGTAATTTTTCACCGAATATCTGTGAAAAATTACAGGAAAACTGTGAAAAATCACCGAACTGTTTACCAAACGTTTGGCTATTGAGATTTCGGTAAAATTTCACAGATTACTGAAAAATAATCTTAGTGTCTGTACTCATATTGAATTATAACAAATAACGATTTTTTTTATTCAGTTTGCATATTTTCCAAGCTATTTAAGGGGAAAGGGGACGTAAGGCATCCCTTAGATCAGTTGGTAAAGCCACAGCTTTAAAGCAAGACCATGCTGGAGGTGACTGCGTTCGATTCCCGGCCCGGTCTAGACATTTTTCGGGTTGGAATATTTCTCGACATTTGTGGGCTTAGAGTATGATTGTACTTGCCACACAATTATACTAATGAGAAAATGATAGAGCACGCAATAAGCTAATATGCGATACGAAATAAGTTTGAAATGCGAGGCAGAAGAAGATGGGACGCTATTAAATTTCGGAAATTCAAAAGCAGTTTTTTCGTTCAGAATCGAAATTCTGGGAATGAAAATGCGTTCACAATGCAATGAACACGTTTTCATGTAATATTGGTCTTTGAAAAAAAAAATGTTTTTGTAGTTTTTAAACTATTCTGCATCTGCTTTGAATAACATTTCTTATCCAATCTGAAGTGATTTTGGCCAACAGACACCCTTCGACTCTATGTTTATAGTTATCCGGTCGTATTCATGAATCACATTTAGTTTTCCAATATTTTAAGCTACTAGCTAATATATTGAATCAAATACAGTTTTAACGTCATGGGCAAAATCAATCCAGTTTTTAAAATGGTAAGCTTCTTCTTCTGCATTTTCGCATATCAAGCTTATTGCTTATTGCATATTAGCTTAACTTAGTGTTCTATAAATGCACTTCCACAGTTATTAATTGAGAGCTTTCGATGCCAATACCAATGCATGAATATGTATATTGCGTGGCAAGCACAATGATACTCTATGGCCAGCGAAAAAAATGGTAAGCTATGACTTCTATAATAACGCAGTAGATACATTTTTGATGTATTTCCATCGTAGTTATGCACAATATTTCCAATGAACAGCGCCTTTATTTTGGATCCCAGGCAAACTAATCGGATTCAACCCAAGAAAATAGTCCTACAGCAGATCTTATTTCAGCGAGATGCTTTTTATTTGGTCTTCTGAGCTAAATACCAAAATTTTGATAAAACAAAAGCGTTTATCAAACAGCTTCTTTCTATCAAATTTAGGTTCCTCATACTATGATGCATTTGCAAAACATGTTTGGTATTACCAATTGAACCGTTGCGGGTGAAAATGGTACATATACACTAGAGTAAATTTTGCAAGAGACGCTCTTATTCAAAGTACTCAAAAATGAAATCTATTCATAAAATTTTCTCAACTAAATTGCATAAATCTGTTGCAGAAGAGTTGAAAAAATGCGGCTGAAAAACTGGAAAAATTTTGTGACTGATGAACATTTACCACTTTTAATCAAGGTTGCAAATAATTATTTCAGTTAAAATAATGTTTTTCGGAATAATAAAACCAAAAGATGGTATGATGACATGTTTTACTTGTAACTTACAAGAATAGGTTACAAAGTATGCGTTTGAAACATAAAACCTGTAAATTTTGCTTAAATGATGATGATGGTCCCACCTCTTACCCCTACAAAGGTTTGAGCTGGACGATTTATCTTTAAGATAATTAAATATAACATTTTAACCAGGTTGGCAAACAAAATCTAACTGGTTTCAGTTACAGATATAAATTCCCTCTAGAGTTTACAGTTGCTTCACAGCGATATAAATGTGGAAAAGCTCAGGCGTCCACCTCTTAGTTCGCCTTTTTGTCCACCTAAAATATTCATAAGTATTACAAGCAATCAAGAGTTAATGAACAATCAACAAAGCATCCTATTACACTAGCAACCCCACAATGTGATGCTATCATAATTTTCAGCAATGTCAGGAATGCTCACGAACCCCCAACATTTGCCAGAAAACTTACTACTAACTCAAAGTATCTTCCAAATAAGCTTCAAAATTGCATTTTTTTTTTAACAAATGTTAAATTCAGTCCTCTATATCCGTAATACGCGCATGAGGCTGAAACCTTTGTAGACTACTTTTTTTTTTAAATTTATCTACTATTAAATCAAATATTAAAAATCCATCATCACCCTCGTGGCGAACAGAAATAGTTTTTGCAGTGCTACAATAATTATTAAAAAGTCGTTACGACAGCTATCCATATAAAATAATCCGTTAGAGATAACCTCGTCAAGATACATAATTTGTTAATTCATAAAAAAATCACTGGATAACTGTTCAAAAGACAGTTTTAACGTGTGAAATGCAGTGTCTTTTAAATTCTGTAAGTGTTGCTAAACGTTTGATATGTCTAGGCATCGAATTGAAAACATTTATTCCTTTATAATATAATGAATTTTGTGAAGCACAAGTCAAGAAATGTGGTGTTCTTATTTCAACTGCGTTTCTAGTATTATATCTATGAAAGTTACTTCCTAATTCAATTCGATCACACAAATATCGAGGCAGCAAACCGTTAACTACTTTAAAAATGAACACCATAGTCAAATATACAATTCTTTGCTTCACCGACAACCATTGTAAGGCGTCTAACATCAAAGTTGAGGAAGTGTATCTATTACATCTCAAAATCAAACGCATTATTTTATTCTGCAAGCGCTGTAATCTCGGTATTTGTGTTGCATTGGACAGAAATAAAATGGAAGGGCAAAAGTCAAGATGAGGAGAGATGATTGATTGATTGAGCTGTATTTTACTGGCAATAGTTAAATCGTTTTTCAGGCGACATAGAATTCCATACTTCTTGGCAATTTTCTTGATGACATTGTCAATGTGAGAGTTGAACTTAAGTGTGTCATCAATAATCACGCCAAGATATTTAATCTCCCGGACGCGATCAATAGTCTCATCATCAATTACAACAGAGACGTTCTCATTTACTCGATTCCGCGAAATTACCATAAATTTAGTTTTACTTGTATTCAATTTTAACTGATTATACTTCAACCATCTACTTAGAGAACGCAAATCTTCATTCAAGTGTAAAACGGCATCATCTAAATCCTTAGCTGCAATGAATAACACAATGTCGCAAAATCGT